CCTCGAAAACTATATGTTTTAAACTTCGAACTTTCACTACAGCGAGAGTGATATAGCAACGACATCCCGGAAGTAAAACAGCGTGCTCAGTACTCGGCAGGTTATTAATCTCAGTATCTACAATGTCTAGAAAAGCCAACACGGGCGGTTTGGAGACGCGCCATACATTTACTATAGGAAAATCCGAGAACGGGTGGTTAGAATTTTTCATAGCATTTTCATCGATACTATGGGAAAATATACGTCACCAGAACAACGGCCATCGTTACTTTCAGTGTACAAACACGTTATTTAAGCAGTTTCGAGATACGAAAATCGTCGTTACATTGGCGATATGTAAACAATGACACACACCCTATTTTCATCACCGACATGTGCTTTGATATTTCGTGTCAGCTCGCTATTGCCACGAAACCGTACATATAAAACATGGATCTGAACGACCCCATTGCTTGAATATAGTTAGCATCTTTATTTTAGCAAATGTGATCACCTGTAATTCGATGATTTGGCCCCCATTTCTCCTGTTTTGTGTATTGGAAATAAACTGAACGCCCAGTAACAGTAACTAGAAAATGGTTGTTACCACATTATATAATTAATAATAATTATTTCTAATACATTTGAAACACATAAATGATTCATTCAACAATGTTTTTTAACAATATATGTGCTTTCAAAAATGAAATAATAATAGAAGAATAGGCCTCTTTATTATTTGTATTCATTTGGCATATATCACTTCAATACAACATTGGGCTGATCACGGTAATGCAATAGGCATTGATCTTAAAAACTTTAACAATAGTCATAGTATGGCAACATCTGCGTGATTCTACTGGGAAGTCGATTACACATCGGACCATTATATATAACATTTCCATTCCCCACCCCATATATAGGTACAGTTTTGTATATAATAGGAAAACGGACACATTATGAAATATTCATAACTGTGTGTGTTTTAGCTTGTTTTGAAAGAGCACACTCATAAAAAGGAAAGTGTGCATTGTTTAAAACACACTGATACACAACACTCCCAAATGGGGCTCATGTTTGTTAAAGACATGTTTAGTAAAAAACAGCTATTAATATTTCATAATGTGTCCATTTCCTGTTACATAAAAACACTGTAGCTATATCTTGGGGTTGGAGAGGGGTGGGGAATGGGGTACATTCAGTTTTGAAACCTGTTGGTATTACAATCACAATAAACAGACAATGTAATACAGACTATCTTTGATTGCATGAAACACGCATGCCATTGGAGCCATTCTATTACAATTCCCTTAGCTGTTTAATATAAATATAGACATGAGTTATATACAACATCAAAGTTGTCTTGTCTGTCTGTCGAAGTTTTCAGATGAAAGAATTTCGATAAATGATGCTGGTTGGTTTGTTGTTTAAGGCTGCACTCGGTTCTGTTCCAGTCTGGACCAGGCAATCGGCGGGGGACACCACAAATGGGCTTCACACATTGTACCCATATGGGGAATCGAACCCGGGTTCTCGGTGTGACGAGCGAACGCTTTAACCACTGGGCTACCCCACCGCCCCTATGGCTGAGTAATGCTCACATACAAGCAATACATGCATATGAAACTCATCGTCAACAAAACATCTTCCCCTTAATATATATCTTCCAAAACCGACTGGAAGTTTAAACCTACTACATCTGAAAAGAGCCATGGATAGTCTTAGGTGTACAGGGATAGGGAGTGTAAAATTCTTTTCCACATTTAACAGTGATTTAAAATGCTGTTAATAGAAGGAATCAGATAAACTGTTGATAGAACTACACCCTGATTGTTGTAGGTTGTCAAATGATCTTCACATCTTGTGCTAACCGCACATATTCAAATCAGAATATTCTAAATATGAATGAGTCTAAACAGAATATGTTTAATATGAGGAGCCCATGTGGTACGGCATTCGCGAGGCAGTTTGCGTTCACCCAAACACAGTAGCCTGCACCAATACCTTATATGGCTTGTGATGTGCACAAGTTGGAGAGGGGTTCTGCAACATTCTCCCCAAACCAGAGCATTGTTTGCTGTTTTGAGAAACCGTTTACACATTTTATGCTGTACGTCTTCAATATTTTTACAATATGAGGTCCCCTATACTTCTGCACCATTACACACTATAGGAGCAATCATAGCATTAAATATCATAATTAATCTTGACATGGTTTATTTTCAACTTTCTTTTGACATCTGTACAATGCCATAACAGCCTTTTTACTCTGTGCACCAAGAGTAGTTAGTGCTTTAGTCCAAATAAGTTTACAATACCCAATATCTATATAAAGATTTCAAAATACACACCATAAACTTTTGATTTTATCACAATTTTGGACTGGTACAGAGCAAATTACCCAAAATTCAAAAGCAAAATCACTGATGGTGTGTTGAATTATGTATGTATGCACTGCTGTAAAGTATAATAAAGTAAAGAAAAGAGTCCATAGCAGCATTTAACCAAACTAGGTAAATGATATCTGGCTGAAAAATTGCTGACATCAGATGATTTGTATCAGATCTTTCTAATAACCCCAGGGTTATCATGCTCAAAATAATCAATGTACAGCAAATGTATACTCTCATACTGGCTTCAAGCCATAAAAACTACAGTTCTCATGACAGGTTTCATTGGTAAATATCACCCTTAATTCAACAGTTCACAAATAGTGGAATGTTCATCTGTCTAAAACGTTCTTTTTCACATATATGTTATGCCAATGTTTTAACATACTGATCATACCATGTATTTTTATATATTCAGTTTAGTAATATAAAGTAACTAATTCATTGTTTTGAGCTGTATATGTGTGTGTATTTTTGTATATAGATCATTTGATTCACCATGTTTATTATAATCATAAGCATTTCTGAATGATATTGGTATATTTGTTAACTGTTTCATGTTGTTTTGTAGAGGCTGAATATCAGAATGACAAACCCTGTCATTAACATCATCCATCAAAAACACTTTACCTTGTAATTTCACAAGGCGATCGAAAAATATATCGGCCAAACCTACAGACTGTACCCTGAAACGATGGAAGACACGGGACATAATCGGCGATATTTTCGTCATCACATTTGCTAAAATAAAGATGCTAACTATATTCAAGCAATGGGGTCGTTCAGATCCATGTTTTATATGTACGGTTTCGTGGCAATAGCGAGCTGACACGAAATGTCAAAGCACATGTCGGTGATGAAAATAGGGTGTGTGTCATTGTTTACAAATCGCCAATGTAACGACGATTTTCGTATCTCGAAACTGCTTAAATAACTTGTTTGTACACTGAAAGTAACGATGGCCGTTGTTCTGGTGACGTATATTTTTCAATAGTATCGATGAAAATGCTATGAACAAATTCTAACCACCCGTTCTCGGATTTTCCTATAGTAAATGTATGGCGCGTCTCCCCGCAGTGAAGGCCGCCATTTGGCAGTGGTTGCCTGTGTCAGTGTCGAAGCGTTAGCGCAGGCGCAACATAACGGAACCTCGAGGGAACCAGGCTTATATTTGCTAAAAGAACATAGACAACATTCTCTCATTCCAGCATATCTTATTATTCAACATTCTCACCAAACTGAACACACTTATCCTATTATCTGTTGAAATTGCATATGTAATATTGACTTTGATAATGCACTGGCCTGAATTAGCGTCATTTTTTTACATTTAAACTTTACAATCCTATGTTGTGTTTCATTACAGACCGCAGGCTGCAATACCTGTGGTGGAGCCCAAGTCGGAACCGGAAATCACAACGTCGGTGTTCGATAATCCATCAAGTACAACAGACATAACATTAGAGGTCGAGGAGACAACTCCACGTCAACAAAGGTGTCCTTGTGGCTGCTTCGTCCGTGTTTGAAAAAATGTTTGAGGGGGATTTCAAGGGAGAAGAACGAGATTCCGTTAAATAACAAAACCTATGCGGAAATCGTTGAGATGCTTCTTCGTATATACCCATCTGAACTGAAATCTATCACCCCATCAAAGGTTGACAAGTTGTTGCAACTGGCAGACGAATACAAGATGACGGCACTGACGCAGAAATGTGAACGCTTTTTGTTATACCAGTGCACGAGGATGACTTCAGATGGTTCCATCTCCGGTAAAGTACTTGTTCATTACATATATCTGGCTGACAAATATCATTTGGATGATCTGTTGACAAGGGCGACCGACATAGCTTCTCATTTGGTCTTTGGGGAAAGAAACGATGGAATATCATATGAGCCAAGTCCAGATAGATCTGCTATCTTGAGTCATGAGGAATACCCACTGATAAGCGAACCTATCCAACTCCTGCTGGCGCTCAAGCGTATTTCTTTCCTTGAAAGGAATTAATATGAAATCACAGAACAATCCACTGCAACATTGACGGAGTAGTTCTTCAACTACTAATAACAGTTACTGTAGTTCTGCAAAGTATTCTTTTAGCCTCTAAAATTGTAGACGACCTGTCATAGTTTGTGTATTCTAGTTACTCTGTTAGGCATCTGAATCAAGATATAGTTGATTCAAAAGGTCCAAGAGCCCAGTTAGCTATCTGTTTCAGGTAATGAAATGCTGTAGTGTTTTCAGCTCTATGTATATTTCAGTTTCTTCATATAATTGTAGGCTTTGATGGTGGTGTGTGATCTCTTCTACCTTTATGCATTAAATATGTTGTATACATTCGTTCATGCTTTCGTAGATCTGTGAAGTCCGGATGTAAATAAAATTCCATTGTGGGCAAAAAGGTTTATCACACATGGAAGGTAGATCATGCATTAAATATGTTGTATACATTCGTTCATGCTTTCGAAGATCTGTGAAGTCCGGATGTAAATAAAATTCCATTGTGGGCAAAAAGGTTTATCACAAATGGAAGGTAGATCATGCATTAAATATGTTGTATACATTCGTTCATGCTTTCGTAGATCTGTGAAGTCCGGATGTCAATTAAATTCCATTGTGGGCAAAACGGTTTATCACAAATGGAAGGTAGATCATGCATTAAATATGTTGTATACATTCGTTCATGCTTTCGTAGATCTGTGAAGTCCGGATGTAAATAAAATTCCATTGTGGGCAAAAAGGTTTATCACAAATGGAAGGTTGATCATGCATTAAATATGTTGTATACATTCGTTCATGCTTTCGTAGATCTGTGAAGTCCGGATGTAAATAAAATTCCATTGTGGGCAAAAAGGTTTATCACAAATGGAAGGTTGATCATGCATTAAATATGTTGTATACATTCGTTCATGCTTTCGTAGATCTGTGAAGTCCGGATGTAAATAAAATTCCATTGTGGGCAAAAAGGTTTATCACAAATGGAAGGTAGATCATGCATTAAATATGTTGTATACATTCGTTCATGCTTTCGTAGATCTGTGAAGTCCGGATGTCAATTAAATTCCATTGTGGGCAAAAAGGTTTATCACATGGAAGGTAGATCATGCATTAAATATGTTGTATACATTCGTTCATGCTTTCGTAGATCTGTGAAGTCCGGATGTAAATAAAATTCCATTGTGGGCAAAACGGTTTATCACACATGGAAGGTAGATCATGCATTAAATATGTTGTATACATTCGTTCATGCTTTCGTAGATCTGTGAAGTCCGGATGTAAATAAGATTCCATTGTGGGCACAAAGGTTTATCACACATGGAAGGTAGATCATGCATTAAATATGTTGTATACATTCGTTCATGCTTTTGGTAGATCTGTGAAGTCCGGATGTCAATAAAGTTCCATTGTGGGCAAAAAGGTTTATCACACATGGAAGGTAGATCGAACCTAGTGACGCGTTGTCCAGTGAAGATACTTTCAGGTCGTGCCAGGTGCAAGTGGGCATCATTGTATCACGCTTGAGGCGATGTCCCACGCCCCACGCCCCACGCCCCACCCATTCTCGTCCACATTACAGTAACGAGATGTTATCACCACTGTACTCAGATGTATATCTATATTTTATTGAAATAAATCATCAATTTTCTGTGCTGTCTTTGAATTATTTCTTTAAGGCACATTGTGACTTTGATGCATATTAGGGCTTGCTTTCTTTTACAATCCTCACCAATGTCGGGAAGGAGTAGTTTTAGCTGGCTTACATACATACAAACCAGCACCATATAAACTGCCGGGTGAAAGAGCAAATATGTTCAACAATTGAAAAAAAATAAATACAAACTTATTCAAAGGTTGCTTGAATTAACAGTCTCCGAAACATAACAATCTGAGATCTGAACACAACAAAGATTAACCACATCAATGGGATCACCACGTATATAACGTGTTATTTCACATCTCTTGCTTTTTCCGGAAAATAGAAAATTAATGGTTACAATGTGAAATACACAATGAGTGCAGATTTAAGCAATATTCCAGCAATATCACGGCTGAGAACGCCGGAAATGAACTTCACACATTACACCCACCTTGAACATCGAACCTGGATGTCGGGAATGTTGAGCGAACGCTTTATCCAGTAGGCTACATGGCCACTCTCTAATATATCCAGACTAAACATATAGATCATATGAATTCATGCACAAATATGTATACATCTCCCAATAAACTTTGCTTGGATAAAAGCCTTGTCATATTGGAATTGTAGAAAATTGCTTCCTGTAAACCTTTAAGAAACCCAGCCATTTTTACTTATTTCGGCCTTGACCTCCATTAGAGTTTTATTGTTTCAAAACATGCGATAGTTGAAATGTACAAAGTTAAATTCGCGTATCCACAAAGATCTGATAACTTTCACAATGATGTGTAAATGTGTTGCTCAAGTGTACTTATCCTACAAGCCCCTAGCATGTTAATGGCGGTACAAATAAAAAATACAAATTACAGCAAGCTTCGAATGACGATAAGTATACACTCACTGACAAAAGATTGCTGGTAACAGAAAAGCAAATGCGGTATCGAGGTGACTGAGTTTATAATGACGACGTGGATAAGAAAAGGGCAGGACTGGGTGTGCTAGCCCATGACATGCCAGGCAACCCCACACATTTACTGCTCCGAGTGTAGTGTTGTACCTATGCCGAGCGCTGGTAACCAGGACAGATCACGAAAACATCCATGAAAACTTAACGTGTGATCCATTGTGGGTCATTTCTCCTTGAGTTCTCAAACATTTGTTCATTCGACATGTCGCCAGCGTGTGGGGTCTTTCACGCTGGCGACGAACTCGGATGTATCGTCTCTGGGATATGTGGTTGTCACATGTGATTCAACGGATCAGGCAAATTTAGGTGTTGCGCTTGGACTCGATTCCAGAGTTTGGTAATTTGTCATGGAGATAGGGGAAACGCCCTGGCTACTGCTTACTCGGCGACCAATCGCGATGTTTCGTTCTGGTTTTCTCAGTCGCACGGATAAGGAGGACATGTAGAGGTAAACCTCTTCAGTAACCCATGCTTGTCGAAAGTGGCCACTAACGGGATCTGGTGGTCAGGCTCGCTGACTTGGTTGACACATGCCATCGTATCCCAATTGCGTAGATCGATGCTCATGATGATGATCACTGGATTGTCTGGTCTAGACTCGATTATTTACAGACCACCGCCATATATCTGGAATACCGTTGAGTGCGGACCTAAATAACAAACAAACAGACAAAACAGTAGAGTCACAGGCGTCTAGTCTAGTACGTAGGTTGTCATTTTAACACTTTTAGGGGAAGTCAGTTAATGCATTGGGAACATCAGCAAATGTATTTAATGTTTCACTGTCTGCGACTGGCAAACTTTGGAACTTGTACCAACACACCCAAACATTTAAGCGCGTCCCAGGCTAACGGCTAAGGGTCTCCGAAATCGAGTTAAAACCGCGAATTATATTGCTGGAAACATTTATCAGTGGGTTATTGACTTTCATTTGATGTCATCGCTGGCAATATTTTGGTCTCCATACTCTTCTATTTTATCCACTTCCCGAATCTTACTGAATACTCGATAAAACGTACAGAACTCGTACAGACGGTAATATAAAGCATGTTTACCGTTTAAAATAAAAAGTATCAATATAGAACTGACTGACTGAGTTTGGTTTTACGCCGCTTTTAGCAATATTCCAGCAACATCACGGCGGGGGACACCAGAAATGGGCTTCACACATTGTACCCATGTTGGCATTCGAACCCGGGTCTTCGGCGTGACGAGCCAACGCTTTAACCATTAGGCTACCCCACTGCCCCATCAATATAGAATATGAGCAATGTTAAACACGTGTGGAGTTTGGTTGTTTGAATCAGTATATGTTCATGTATGATCCTTGTCAGACGCATGTCAATGCAAACTGAGTTCGTGTTCTTAATCCATTTAATTCATAGATGAATACGTGGTATACTTGTCAAAATACTCTTGCATGTTGCGCCTCAGTTAATATTGTTATATAAACATTTCATATTTAAGAGGAAGCTGCTTGATGGTGTGTACGGTATGCTTGTTGAGTGGATGCCCCAGTAGTTACATACACCCGTGTATCGCTGGACGCTGTCTTGTGAATTCTACAACTTTTCCTTGTGCTGTTAGTGTTTGGACCTGTACACACTGAACAACCAAATTATTGTGAGGTACAGCGTCCAGGTCGATGGAGGAAGTACCAGACTCTGAGTCATGCAGCTTGGCAACCACAAAGTGCTTCGTCTATACACATCGGCATCTACAGGGTTGTCCCTCCATCATCGGATGACACTTTCACCAACTGGTCCTGACACTATGAAGGACAACTGCAAGTGACCAGTGTTTATAACTGAACGTTGAAGAGAGGAAGTTCAACAATACATGAGGCAATATCAGTATGGCAAGTATGTATGTTTGTTTAAGTACGCAGTCTAATGTTTAGCAACTTAGGGAGAACCAAATTTGTTGATATGTGGTCTCCGTGTTCTGTTACTAACAACACGTATGCTAAACCATGAGTTGCATCTATGTCAGGGACGATGTGAAATGTGCCCTATATACAGATATAGAAATAAATGTACAAGCACTCATCATTTCGTCTGTCGTGTAAATTGTAAACGTTAAGTAATCATATTAGGCACTATTATCTTTAGTAGTAATTGTTGACTGAATGAAGGGTTATTGTGAACGATGTTTAAACTAAATCGGAAAAGTAGGACTAAGTCTTTTGTTATTTTGGGGGATGTTAAATGCATCATTCAGCAAGTTTTCAGCTATATGTCAGCAGTCTGTAAATAACTGAGTCTGAACCAGATAGCCCAGGAATTGACAAAGTGAACGTCGATGCGATGACATGTGTCAACCAAATGACCCGATCCTGTTCGTCGATCCTTACGATAGATAAGCACGTGTCACTGAAGACTAATTCTATCCCGGTTGCCTGGTTTGAATCGCCAATGTCTTCTCAATAAAAGCAATGACTTGTAACGAGCGGCGGTATAGTTGCATAGAAAGCAAAGAAGGGAAAACCATTCTTGCCATATACTAGTATACTGAGAGGCGTTAAAAACGCATATTGGACTTTCTACTCTAAGTCCGTTTTAGAGATGTTGCTGTTTCCAAAACTACAATATGGTGAAAACATATGGTTAAGAAATGCACAGCTCTGATGTTTAGGTTCGAATCCCACGTTTTCAAATCACAGGGACGTGACATCTCAAACGCAACCAAGAGCATGTGCGATGACAATGCAGTTGGATGAACAGAAAACCATGGTGCACGTGCAATGTGCACACTCAGCTCCCATAAAAGCACAGGTTGAGAAATGGCTTTCATTCACATTCACGATGCCACGGTTGACCAACGCCCAAAGGAACCAAGCAATTGGAATGCTGCATGCTGGATAAACACAGAGAGATGTTGCTAATCACTTCCACGTCCACCAGACGGCCATTTCGAGGCTACAGCAACGTCATAGGGCAACAGGAAGTGTCCAAGATCATCCACGTCTGGGAGCGCCTCGTGTGACGTCACAAAGGCAAGATCGGTACATCGTCGTTAGTCATCTTCGGAATCGCTTCAGGTCTGCACGAGAGACTGCAAATGCCACGATAGGAACAAGATGACGTTCCATCAGTGACCGGACAGTACGCCGTCGCCTTGCTGCACGTCACATCCGATGTCGTCGACCCTATCGTGGACAGATCCTCACCCATGCACATCGCCTAAATCGTCAACGTTTGGCAGCTGCTGGAGGCTCTCTTGGTGCTAGACAGTGGCGAGATGTCATCTTCACAGATGAATCACGTTTCAACGTCAGTTTCCCTGATGGTCGGCTACGTGTCTATCGCCGTAATCATGAACGTTTTGCTCAGCCTTGTGTCATTGAGCGTGATCGCTTTGGTGGTGGTGAAGTTATGGTATGGGGGGCAATTAACGTCAACTTCCGCTCTGACTTGGTTGTTCTTCAAGGGAACCTCAACGCCCGACGTTACATTGACAACGTGTTGCAACCAGTGCTTCTGCCATTGATGGGTCGACACGGACGACATCGCCTCGTGTTCCAACACGACAATGCCAGGCCACATACGGCTAGGATTACACAGGACTTTTTGCATCAGAACAATGTGGATGTCTTGAACTGGCCCTCGCGATCACCTGATTTTAATCCGATCGAACATTTGTGGGATGAACTTGGGCGCCGTGTGAGACGTCAGTTGAATCCTCCCCAAACTGTAGCTGAGTTGACACAAGCTTTGCAGTTTCACTGGAGAGCCGTTCCACAAGCTTTGATTCGGAGATTGTGCTTGTCAATGCCTGGCAGACTCCGGGCATGCATGGCTGCCCAAGGAGGACACACACGGTATTGAAATGTGTCATCTGACAGTTGTGTGTTCTCATACCACTTGTTTTGGAGATGCTCGCAAAGACATTGTTGCATCCGTAATCATCTGTAAAGACTGCAGTATTGTTTACAAGTCATCACAATGCCTTTTCCTGTACCGCCATATGTAATTTTTGGACATATGATAAATATATCTGACATTTCTTCCTCATATGCGTTTTTATTGCCTCTCAGTATATTACATAATTACAGACATATGTTTTGAAGGATATCTATGGAAATACATCTACGATATCTAATAATGGAAATGAAAATTCATCGTGTAAATCGTTTTCGTCCGTCGGTCCACACTCAACAAGGTTTGTGCTTACAGTGTGAAAGAAGATTAAAGATGCACACCGTCTGTATGGTAGGTCCATGTTTGGAAAAGATTTTCTTCAAGACTAGTCAAAGTTCGGCGATGAGGGTTTGGAAATATATGCAACAAAAGGTGTCGGTGAAGGTAGAACATATTTAGACAAGATATAGGCATCATTATAGGCGCCAGCTGCTCTTGCAGATGTTTCTTTCTGATGGGGATGGCAAAAGCAAAACAAGATAACCTATCCAAGAAGTTTAACTTCAGCTTTAGGTATATCGATTATCAGTTACCGTGATATAACAAACGCATGTACATAGCCAATTCCGCAATACTGATTTACCCACATGAGCTTGAAATAAAGGAGACCAGAGAAACCGCTTCATTTGTTTCATGTTCAGATCTCAGAAACGGATTAGGAGCATAAAGATTCAGAGTGACACCAAAACCCTCAACAAGGCTGTATGACAATACGGATGACTTAAGTCAGCTTTACGTCGAACAATATTCCAACAGTTCCAGCCTTTGGTGTTTACATTTTACAACTTTGAAGGTACAGTCGAGCATGCTCTTTTCATTAAGATTTCAAAGAACGGCATGTGACTTTTTGTTCGGTCAGGGCTACAACATTCCAGACCTCACTAAAAATTTCAAAGAATTAAATGGCAGACAGTCCCAAGTTTGTGGCATGAGTTACAAATTGATGTCATTTCTTATTTTATATTGTTCCATTTCTTCAGGTGAACAGTTAACTAGCGTTTAGCTATGTTTATGATCTGGTATAATCATAATTTGGTAGCGATTCATAAACACATGACTCGTGATATTGTCGGAATTGCACAATCGACGCAGAGATGTCTTTTGGATATCGAAAGAGTTTTATCGCGTTTATTTCTAAATAATCACAGACGGTTTTTGAGACAAGCGGAATTAATACCATGTGTATTCTCATACACTCAAAGCATTTGTTTGATTTTTTTATAAAACCATTTTATGTTTGTACATACATACTATCCCACAAGACAAACGGAAACTTCATTCCTTGGTCCGCTGAGCATTTGGTGATAAACATACTTACATATCTATGATAATCTATCGTAGGAGGTTCAGGATTAACTGTCAAAAATGAAACATAATGTCATCTTGCGATTACTGAGAAAACAATCTGCGAAATGCTCACTGCTTACGTCTATGTAAAATTAGGTGGAAAACCAGAAACAGGTATACCTCTGGGCATCATGTGCTCCCCCTCATTGCACCTATGTTCCTTTATGCACATGAATCAGAAATTTTGCTCGGGGCCAAGAAGTTTAACTTGAGGTTTAAGTATATCGATGATTTTATATCGTTCAATCATCATCAAATAGCCAATTTCCTTCCACTTCTTTACCAACGTGAATTTGAAAAAGAGGACACCAGTGAGACTACCTCACGTTTCATATTCAGATACAGCTTCTCCGAGACGAAAAAACTCGTATGCATGAAGAGCGGAATTGGTTCCAGCAGGGTGCCACCTTCTTGCCTAATTATGCTGTACCCAAATTTCACTTCGATATAATCTATATATTTTCGCAAAAAACCCCGTTCTATTATAGTTTGATTTTCCTGAAACATTGAAGATTGAAATATTACTATATCTATGGCCACGTGTCACGTGGATCAAGGCATGAAGAATGTTATGGTGTTCAAATGTGAAAAAATCAAACATTGAATTGAACCTGTTCTTTTTTAGGCTGCAAGCATTCAAGCAACACATTTTGAGTTTTTGAGATTATACATGGTATTTTTTCACTTGTCACTTTTTACATTCGGTGAAAATATGGCCAATCAGTTCCTTAGGACAGGGGTTTGCTGCCCTACCTATGCATCTGTGTTTGTACAGATTTTTATGGAGCTTTGAAATCTAGTACAAAACAGTTATAGACGTGTCTTCGGAGATGCTTACATATAATGGATAACTGTTTCTTCAGGTCTTGTCAGTGGGAACAACATCAAACCTATGACGGAGGGCAGCCAGACTTTAGGTGGAAGTCGGCTGCGGCAGACATTATAAATTCCACTTCTGTTCCCACGTTTGCAGTGTGTGTATATTACCAATGACAACATCACACAACTGTGAAAAATATTCTACAGGCTCACGTTTTCCCGAACATTTACTGGGTTGTGATTCAAAAACGCCCCTGGAGATATCTGGCTATTTTAAAGCCAAACAAATTGTTCGCCTCCTTTCAGAACACAATTAACACTTGTAAGCTTGCATTAAAGTAGTGTTTATTTGAAATCATATTCGGCCCCAGCTACATGACACAAACCCTTCACTTAACACCAGAGCAAAAAACTGAATGCAAATTACTGAACATACGTGCAAGTGCAAAATAACGTTTCCAATTTAAGGTACCTCCCTTCAGATTGTTTGTTGAGTTTGTGTAGTTTCAGGTCACTTCAGTTAGTAACATATTTATTTACAGTATTGCGTTTGGAAGATATGGCCAATGCCACTGATAACGCTCCAATATGTATGACAGTTATAAGTTAGGCATCAAATTGTATGACTGTGAACAATAGACTAGAAGCTAGCTCGAACTATGGCAAACTGAACACAAAACCGTATGAATTTCATGTCAGTTATGAAGGAAATAACCTGAAATATAATAACCTTTCTTTCAGGCATGCCGCTCAGAGAAGTCTTTGTTTTTCTGACACTTGGAATCTGTCAACGAAATGGAGATGCTTGTGCCTTACATTTTGACAAACATTATGGTGGCCTCTTTGCTGATTGTAATGGAAGAAAACTTCAGCATGTCCCACAAGATCTTCCCGCAAATATAACTGCTCTTGATATCAGTGAAAATGATGTCACAACAATGACAAAGTTTACATTTCTGAAGCTGAAAAATCTCACGTATCTAAACCTCAACATGAACCCACTGTCAAAGTTGGAACCAGAGGCCTTTGCTGGCTTGTTTAGTCTTACCACACTCCTTCTTGCTCGGAACAAATTAAGTAATGACAAACCATCATTTCCAGATGAAGTCTTCCGTGACCTTGTGAGTTTGCACACTCTAAATCTTGAAAAGACTGAAATGAGCTCATATCCGGATTGGGTGTTTCCTCCTCTCGTCAAGCTCCACAGTCTGTATATCGACTCAGTTCCTCATCCTTTGTTTGGTCCAGGATTCTCCAACCTAGCAAATCTGAAAGTACTGCAGATGGACTCCAGGTTTATATACGGAGGCGAATGTTCAACAAAAACATTAAAAAACGAAACATTTCAGAGTTTAAATGAAACAAAGCTTGAGGTGTTAGTTTTGAATTATTGTTTGGATTTGGAACCCCCTGAGTATGGTGTTCTACAGCCGTTACAGTCCTTAAAACAGTTGGAATTCACAAATAATGAAATAGGAATCCAGACCAGTCTACATCTACTCCATCCCTTTGTTGGTCGAAATATGAGTAAAATCTGGTTAAATGATACATGTACAAGGCGTACACAACATAAACGTGATATTTCCAGTAAAATATTAACGGAAAAAAGTACCCATTACTTGACGCAGATATGTGTGTCCGAGGTATCACTTACTCGAAATCGTATATACTTGATCGAGATGACATCTATTTTCAAGGAACCGTTCCTAGAGTGTTTGGAAGTGTTCGATGTGTCTGACAACTATCTAGCTGGTGATGCAGCTATCATTGTTTCTATGTCACATTTTTCAAAACTCAAATATTTAGGTGTCAGTAACCAAAGGCAAGGAAGGGACTTTCCAACGACCGATAATTACGGAATGTCAAACGGTAACTTGACAATAACTTTATCACTACCCCCTAAACTAAGGCATTTTGGTTTAAGCGCAGTTGTTGGGCCCAGAACAGTTAGAACAATACAGGAAATTAATTTTCTAAATACAGACAGCCTTGAAACTGTATTAATTGGCTTCAACAGCATAAAAGGCCTTCTAAGACTGAGGGGGGTCGAGCATGTCAGCAGTGTTGATTTATCAGGAAACGAGCTTGGATCTGTGGCTATCTTTAATTCATTTACAAACGTCAAAAGGTTATCCTTACAAAGTTGCAACTTACAATTCCCAAAGGAATCGTTAGGTGTAAGCAGCGTTTTCAGTACTCTAACATCTTTAGAATATCTGGATATTTCACTTAATGACATCAGATATTTTCGACTTCTTTCAGTTCCTGCAAACATTATTCATATTAATCTATCTCATAATCAGTTTGAAACTGTTCCCATTGAAACATTTGATTATCGAAGTCTTAACCTTATTGATATATCATTCAACCTGATTGGCCAGATGGATAGAGATACAAGATTGAAACTTGACTTATCCGCGGAAAAGAACAATCTCAAACTAATTATCAAAGGAAACACCTTTTCGTGTAGCTGTAGAAATCTAGACTTCATTCTTTGGTTGGTGGATACACCTGTCATTTACGAGAATGACAGGAACTTCCCTTGCATTCTTGATAATGGCACAATGACAGGAACTGTTGACGTAGCCAAACAGTATGAAAGCCTATATCACTACTGCACGGGCAAATTAATCCTTAATCTCACAATCACATTCTCAGTAGTCATTTTAACAGCAATAGTTGCAACATACACAGTCTCCAAGAATTCAGTACGTTATCGCAATATTGTGCTGAGAATATTTGGATTAGGCATCCAATATTTAACACCAAAAGATTTTGATTTCACCTTCTATGTCGGATATTGCGAGACTGACATTCCATTTGTCTATCACAAACTGCGACATGGATTAGAACTGTGTAGTCAGCCTGTGCGTCTGTTCCTGAAGGATCGGGATGTTCTTCCAGGTGTTCCTATCGCCGACGGTATTATTTGCGGTATCACGTACAGCTGGAAGTCTGTTCTGGTGATTTCAGATGACTTCCTTCAAGATTGTTCTCAGTGGTCACAATTTACCATTGATGCAGCACTTTACTCGGTAACGGATCTGATTCCTAACCGGATCATTGTGCTACTTGTGGGCCCCGTACAGGTGGAGGACCTGCCTGAGCGTCTGCTGAATGTGGTGGAAGAGGAGTGCATACTACGTGTAGAGGATTATCAACATGGGGATGTTAAATTATGGAAGGTTCTGAGGGAAATTGCCAAAGTTTGAAATTGTTGAAAGTTGCCTCTGCTTTTATGTCTGAATCAAATTCCTGAACGACAAGCTCAAGGGCTTTTAGGCATTGTTTTTGTTTTTCGTTTTATAAAGAAAAGGAAGTTGATTGCGATCGGTGATGGCAACGATATTGGCTTTAAGTTTAACTCCTTCAAGAATGGATTCAATGTCTTTCATGAGATCCTGCTAGATCGTTCCTGATGATGATGATTGCTGATTTTACGTGCGCTTTCTGACATGATGCGTATTTCTCACACGGAGACATGGGACAGACTTACCAGGTTCATTCACACCCAAATGACCTACCAAAGTAGTTTCATATGCTCCAAGCATTTTTTTATACAGAATTGGAAGAACAATTCATGTTAGTCTCCCTCAGGGACGAAACCTTATCGATGTGTCATTCAAATTGATTAGACGTATGGATAAAGATACAAGATTGAAACTCGAAAGAACAACCTCAAACCTATTGTCTCGGGACGTGTCTTGTTCCTGTGAACAATTGGACTTCAAACTGTTGTTGAAGGATACACCGGCAATTTAATGGCGTGACATGACTACATGCATTTTGGGCTTTGTCCATGTGAATGTGTCCTACGACCTTCTCGGGGGTTGTTGAAAGAGACATGAAGATGAGATTCTTTTGGAAGATCTGAGAGGTACTTTAAGTGTTTCATGAGGGTAAAGGTTTACAATGTCCTTGCTTAAAGTCACATGTGATGTTTCCACGCGATTGTGGTTTCAGACGATTCTGTTTCGATTCAATGGAGGGCAGTGAGGTGCATGTATTCAGATGTTTGGGGAGTCCAGCATAATCGAGAATCTTCTAGATTAACCAAACTAATCCAGCATTGTACTGAAGGTTTTGGAAGCTATTTAAGAGTATGTAAGTGGGCAAACGCATGGCTCTACCATCATAAGTTCATCAAGATGAGCGGTTTTGATAAGTATTGCTAGTAACACACCTTTTTTATTCTATACTACCATTGTAACTGTACTGCCACTGAATATTGTGTTTCCGCTTTATTGTGTACTGCACATATAATTGTACTCCCACTGAATATTGTATTCCACTTTATTGTGTGCTGCCATTGTAATTGTACTCCCACTGAATATTGTATTTCCACTTTATTGTGTGCTGCACATATAATTGTACTTCCACTGAATATTGTATTTCCACTTTGTGTGCTGCCATTGTAATTGTACTTCCACTGAATATTGTATTTCCACTTTATTGTGTGCTGCACATATAATTGTACTCCCACTGAATATTGTATTTCCACTTTATTGTGTGCTGCACATATAATTGTACTCCCACTGAATATTGTATTTCCACTTTGTGTGCTGCCATTGTTATTGTACTTCCACTGAATATTGTATTTCCACTTTATTGTGTGCTGCACATATAATTGTACTTCCACTGAATATTGTATTTCCACTTTTTGTGCTGCCATTGTAATTGTACTTCCACTGAATATTGTATTTCCACTTTATTGTGTGCTGCCATTGTAATTGTACTCCAACTGAATATTATATTTCCACTTTATTGTGTGCTGCACATATAATTGTACTCCCACTGAATATTGTATTTCCACTTTGTGTGCTGCCATTGTAATTGTACTTCCACTGAATATTGTATTTCCACTTTATTGTGTACTGCCATTATAATTTCAGCTGTTGTGGACTTTTGGCAGGCTGTGTTGTAAAGTATATCTCACACGAAACTGAGTCCAATATAGTTTCTCTTAACAATGCTCACCGGATCATATTCGACCCAGTTGAACCGAATGAGCGCTGCTGCCATTTTCGATCTGTGAGCAACATACCTGTACCCATGAATGGCACCAAGGATGTGAATGCCAATGACATAGGTCACATGGAGCGTGTATGACATATCAGGTTCCATTTCCGTTGAACACTCACTCACTCACTCACTGACTGACTCACTCACACACAAGATCATCGTGAAATGTGCATATTTGTAAAATAAGGATAATAAATGTATTTGGTTTATCTGGTTGTGTTCGCATTTGTATGTTTTGATAATTATGAACATAGTGCTTTAGAGGAGTTCACTGTTAAATTGTTTTGATAAAATTATACCCCTTCGTTGACTGTGAGTTGTCTTGTTGCACTCGACTTAAGCGTCATATGTCAAAAAGATTGCATAACAAGGAACAAGTCATAGGGCGGGAGAATATCCTTGGGTATTTATTAGTCATTAGGTTCGATAAATTGAGAAGGGATAACATATATCAGGAACGTTAGTTGCTTGGTTTATTGTTTAGTTTAAACAACATTTATTCTTGTACTTTTGTACAGTGGGATTGACAAACTGTGTTTCCCCTATATTAATGTCTCTGCCCAAACGAATACATATTACAACAGGATATTTACATCAGAAATTGTTATACATTCATGTAGAAGAAACAGTGACATACTGATATTTTCAGGTAAAGCTTGTTTTAATGATATAAACTTATGAACAGATTGGATTATTTTTGTATTAACATGATTTGATAGGTTTGTTGTTTAACTCCGCACTCAGCAATATTCCAACAATATGGCGGCTGTCTGTAAACCAGACAATCCAGTGATCAACAGCATGAGCACCGATCTACACAATTGGGAACCGATGACATGTGTCAACTAAGTCAGCGAGCCTGACCACCCGATCCCGTTAGTCGTCTCTTGCGACAAGCAAGGGTTGCTGAAGATCAATATTCTAACCCGGATCTTCACGGGTTATCACTCAAGATGACAAGGGGATGACTGTAAACACTTATTAAGTTTACGCTTAGAAAACTGGAGCAACGACCATTGGTTGATACCTGGGATGCCGGGTAGGGCTGGATATTGCTCTGATTTTCATATTGCGATATATTGCAATAATTTAAGAGATATTGCAATACATATTGTAATATATTGACTAGGAGGTTTCTGCCCAAGTGCTTACATCATAAATTCATAATAGCTCTCTGTGTGCGACATCATCTATTTAGTTGCTGTTACACCATACTTTCAGGCTCCCCGTCCCCATTGTGTATGGCTGTATGTCAATGGTTTACAGATAAATACCATGACATAGAGGCTCAACGTGGAATGTTTGATTAAAGCATTACAACAAAGTTTTGAGAATATAATGATATAGAGGCTCAACGTGGAATGTTTGATTGAAGCATTACAACAAAGTTTTGATAATATAATGATATAGAGGCTCAACGTGGAATGTTTGATTGAAGCATTACAACAAAGTTTTGAGAATATAATGATATAGAGGCTCAACGTGGAATGTTTGATTGAAACATTACAACAAAGGTTTGCCAATATAATGATAAACGTAACAGTATAACAGATTTTCAGTGTTGTTTGCTTCAACAGAATGCACTTCAATGCAGCGTGTAATTATTGTTTCTGTATGTCAGTGATTCATTGAGATACAACGCCAATATAAACACGTGTTAACATGGACTATTGCAAAATGAAACAAAAACATGATTTAGTTTAAATTCATGTCATATGTACCATTATGAAACAAACGAAAATAACAAAATATTGTGAGTTGTGAAATGGTCACTCAGAGCCAGAGACTCTACTGTAAGTCCAATAAAAAACTGGTCCATTTGAGGCAACTTAATTCCTCCAAATCAAACCATTCAAAATAACAAAACGTAAAGCATTTGGTAGAATATTTGGTACCTTTGGAACCACTTGTAATGACACTTCCACTTGTAATATTATACATGAAACCAACAGAAATATAAGTGTATTTGGCACTTTTGGAGCACATTGTTTTTGCCACGGAAATCAAGGGCAGATAATTCAAAGGAAGCTAACAGTGGATGACCAATTATATTGCAGAATCTGAACCATATCGCCAGATACTGTACTGGTATATACCGGTTTACCGGTAATATTGCACAGCCCTAATGCCGGGACTCACATAACGCAACAACTACCTGAAATGTCTTTGCCAACACACCCCAAAAGGTTCACTACAGAATAAAGGGGTTACCGCCATTTTCTCAATGTCTTTGCGTTTGTGTTTTTAGCTCTTTCAGTAAGCGTGGATGATATCGTTGCGATCCTCCGTTGAGATATGCAGATTGCGTTGATCAAATCAACTACCCTCAACATCGTATTTTGCCAGGGAATAACCCTAAGTAATGTGGATCCAAATGTTCGCTATGTTTGAAAGAGCTATGTTTAGTAGGGCGTCACTGTATATACAGGTTGTATCTGTTGCAAGGGTCTCACTGAATATACAGGTTGTATCTGTTGCTGGGGTCTCACTGTATATACAGGTTGTATTTGTTGCTTTTAGTAGAGATTTCTTATGGATGTGGAAAGGGTTTTGATTTGCTTCTATTGTATTAACGAAGATATCACTTTATATAGGGATCACATCTGTGTGAAAGTCTCTCTGATTATAGGGGGTGTATGTGTTTACAAGCTATAGGATGTCACAGTAAATATTTTTTTGGTGTTAACCAGGATGCCGATTCACAAAGCGTCCCACGTTTACTATGGTGTCACTGCATAAAGGGTGTGTGTATGTGTTTCCTAGGCTGTCACTGTATATGTGTTGTGTTTGTGTTTTATGTTGAGCATTCCGAAAGCAAATCTATGAGACATGATGGTGCCATCTCGTTTTGACATTTCCATGCAATACACAGTGTCTTCAGGACTGGTGTTATATGTGACATATGTGTTCTTATAACCATTCTGGAAGCAGTGTTCTGGGTCTTCTGGTGTTTGAAAATATACAGGAGTTGTATCTGTTTATTATGGTGTCAACATGGTTCGTTCCATTCTTCATGTAGGGCAGCGTTCCTTGAGAGTGGAAGGTGGTTGTTGCCTGTGACGTACGCATCACCCAAGGATATCCAAAACATGTTCGATGGGTGACACGTCTTAATAAAGAGGTTATGTTCTCCTGTTGGAGGTACACAGTAACACTATGTGTTCTTGCGTTGTAATCCTGAAACGCAAAA